AGCGCTCCGCACCATTTGCGACCGCAAGGCTTCGCCCTTCAGTTCCCGGGTGGCTGCGCACAGCTCAGACCCACTTAAGCTCCGCACCCGGGCCGAGTTCAGCACTCACGATCCTCCAGCCGAGCAAGACTCAGCAAGCAGCAACAAGGCCTACCCAGGCCTTAGCCAACGGATGAGCCGCTCCGGCTCTCCCCGGCGATCTCCAGCACACCAGCCATACCTGTGGGCACTCACACCCACACCCAAAAGCTCCTTAAAGAGATGATTGACACCAGCCTATGGCGGATACCAATCCATTGCCATACTGGTGACTTTCCGGAGTGACACAAATACCCAGCCTTCTGGAGTATCACGGTTATCGCTCGCTCGCTTAGCTCCCTCACTGGAGGGGGAGTACCTGTAGCCGACCCCCGCAACTTGCAGCGCGGCATACTTCCCCCAGGTTGGGTCCAGGTCCACAGCCTGTCCTCTCGCCCTCACCATCAGCAGCTTCTCGACGACACATATCGAGACCTGATTGGTTGACCAAGGACACCTCACGGCTCGCCCATTGGACGCGGCTCCCCTCGTTCCCGGGTGGCTGGCACAGCTCAGACCCACTTAAGCTCCCGCACACGGGCCGAGTTCAGCACTCATGATCCTCCAGCCGAGCAAGACACAGCAAGCAGCAACAAGGCCTACCCAGGCCTTAGCCAACGGATGAGCCGCCCTGGCTCTCCCCGGCGATCTCCAGCACATCAGCCATACCTGTGGGCACTCACACCCACACCCAAAAGCTCCTTAAAGAGATGATTGACACCAGCCTATGGCGGATACCAATCCATTGCCATAATGTCATCCAAATCCAGTTTATTAACATCAATAGTTACTGTTTTTATTGTTGACACTGGCCTTATTAGAAAGTTAGAGAGATGAAAAATAAACATCTTTCCCAAAATCAAGAAAAAGAGTGGGATCAGGTAGGACAAATAATTGACTCCCTGGTGACTAAACTCTTGTGAAGCCTTTGTGTTAGCACAGAAATACTCCTAATTTTTTAACAGAAATGTGGACATACTATTGCCAGTGTGAAATTTTAGCTATTTCTTGTAATTTTCCTTAACAATTTCTTTACTCAAATTTAGAACCAGCAAGTATAATCATAACATCTGTTTTTTTTCTTGCATGAATATCATTACAAACTTACGAATAGTGGGTTTTTAATTTGACTGCCATTATCAGTGAAGAATATCAGTGATAAAAACAGTGCATCAGCTATATTTTAGTTCCAGGTTATCAGCCAGAAAAATAAATACAAGTGACCCAAAAAAAGTCTTTAAAAATTAGATGGATGAGATGAACCATATATATTTTTATCAGGATAGTTTTTTATCCTTTCTTCACATTAATGGCATGTATTTTACCATTTTTTCTTCCTGTTAAGATAAAGAGCAGCTGCTCACGGCCACAGCATGAGTCATCATCTGCATGATAGCTTAGGTAATTGCTTTTATTTTTTCATGTCGCCTTGTGGTAAGTTTGATATAAAATACTTTTGCCCAGTTGCCCAGCAACTTTGTTGACACAAAGAAAACCAAACTATCTGTGTAATATTTGTAGTACTTTTTTGTTATGTACAGTTTAGAAATCATGATCTTTTTTACATTTATCTATGTAACATTGTTATGAGAGGGAGTTTTAAGTCTTCATATATTTCTTTTAAAGGTAGATTATTTATGTGGAATTTTACAAAAATGCCTTGTGTTTTTGTTATTACTACAACCAGGGAGGCATGTATAAGCATGAGGATTTGATTGAATATGACATTAGCTCAGTGGTTCCCAACCTTTCTTATTATTTGGCTCATGACCAATATATTATAATCTCCATGACCCCATTCATCTTTTCAGATTCATATATTACTAGTTATGAATAGTGTAATGGTGTCGGTAGCTATAGGACAAGAATACTTTATGGAAAGATTCTAATTCATTGATAGGTGAGAGATAAATATATGCAGGAACTGTAGGTGAGATAAAATTCAGTCATGATTTTCATATTGCTCCATGACTCCCCAGATAATACTCTGTGGCCTCTCTAGGGGCCATGGCCCCCAAATTGGGAACCCCTGCTTTAGATGAAGTAAACTACTTCATAGGATCATAAGTAAAATGAGAAATTACTGAAAGATTCTTATTTTATTTGAGAGTCAATTTTTATGTAATTTATGGTAGAAATTGGATATTAATGCCTTGCAGTCATGTCAGATTTGAATTGTAAAGCTCTGTAATGGGAACTGAACACTATAGACAGCCATTATTTAGATATCATCTCAGAAAAATTGCTTCAACAGGGGATGCACCACTGATTGTTCACCATCATGAGCATCACTCTAACTCAGACTCGGACAACGAGAGACCAGCTGAGGCAGCGCTGACGAAAGACACTGACACCAAAGACACCAAGACCAACACCAATGACATAGATACCAGTGATAAAGATACTGATGCCAACAAGGATACCGACAACAATACTAGTGATGCGGATACCAAGGAAGAGGAACTTAAAACTGAGGAGAAAGTAGAAGATGATGGAGAATCTGAGGAGAACAAAGAATAATGTCATAGTGGTCAATGTAATACAGTAAGTTGGTCTTTAAAATGACAAGAGTTTTACTTGAACTCTTTTGACACAAATATTTACTGGTGTTTATAGTGTGTGCTATTTGTTATTATGTTGTAATATGATTTAATCGTAAAGGAAAATATTAAGTTTATCTTGATAGGTTTCTTAGAGTAGGCTATGTAAAAGATTGATAATTTCTGTTTGTTTGAGACTTGTTTTTTTCATATTGCTCATAACTTTATATAATGTTAACCCAAACTTTTGATTGTTCTGACTTTACCTTAGTACAATTATATATAAAGTTTTAATCACACTCATTCATACTCACTCGCACACTCACATGCACAGGTACAGGCACTCACACACACATGCACGCACATGTGGACGTGTGGGCTGGCATGTGGACTAGTGGGCGGGCATGTTGGTGTGTGAGTGGGCATGTGGGTGCGTGGGCGGGCATGTGGGTGCGTGGGCGGGCTTGTGGGCGACGTGTGGGCTGTGGGCGGACGTGTGGGCGTGTGGGCGTGTGGGCGTGTGGGCGGGTATGTGGCGTGTAGGCGGGTATGTGGGCGGGTATGTGTGTGTGTGTGTGGTGTGTGTGTGTGTATGTGTGTGTATGTGTGTGTGTGTGTGTGTATGTGTGTGTGTGCATGTGCGTGTGCGTGTGTGTGTTTGTGTGTGTGTGTGTGTGTGTGTGTATGTGTATGTGTATGTGTATGTGTGTGTGTGTGTGTGTGTGTGTGTGTGTGTGTGTGTGTGAGTGTGAGTGTGTGTGTGTGTATGTGTATGTGTATGTGTGTGTGTGTGTGTGTGTGTGTGTTTGTGTTTGTTTGTGTGTGTGTATGGGTATTCATGCATGTGTGTATGTGTGTGTGTTTGTAAATGTGTGCATGCTTGTGTGCTGATGTGCAGGTATTTTATGTGTACTAGTCTGTTAAAGCTATCATTATGCTGACACATTTATAAAACAGGCATATTGGCGTGTAGGCAGGCATTTGGGCATGTGGGCGGGCATTTGGGCGTGTGGGCAGGCATGTGGGTGTGTGGGCGGGCATTTGGGTGTATGGGCGGGTATGTGGGCAGACACGTGGGCGTGTGGGCTGGCATGTGGGCGTGTGGGCGGGCATGTGGGCGTGTGGGCGGGCATGTGGGCGTGTGGGCGGGCATGTGGGCGGCGGCATGTGGGCGTGTTGTGGCGTGTGGACGGGTATGTGGGCGTGTAGGCGTGTGGGTGGGTATGTGGGGGTATGTGGGCATGTGTGTGTGTGTGTGTGTGTGTGTGTGTGTGTGTGTGTGTGTGTGTGTGTGTGTGGTGTGTGTGAGTGTGAGTGTGAGTGTGTGTGTGTGTGTGTGTGTGTGTGTGTGTGTGTGTGTGTGTGTGTGTGTGTGTGTGTGTGTGTGTGTGTGTGTGTGTGTGTGTGTGTGTGTGTGTGTGTGTGTGTGTGTGTGTGTGTGTGTGTGTGTGTTTGTTTGTTTGTGTGTGTGTGTATGGGTATGCATGTGTGTATGTGTGTATGTTTGTAAATGTGTGCATGCTTGTGTGCTGATGTGCAGGTATTTTATGTGTGCTAGTCTGTTAAAGCTATCATTATACTGACACATTTATAAAACATTTCAGAAGGTATAGAGTAAAGGATATACAGCCCTTAATTTTAATCTGAGTCCATAATGATACTGTATTCAGCTCTCTATGTTTCTACATGTGTAATTTTACAATAAGTTTATGTAAGTATCTTTGGACCGTTTTCAGATATAGTGTTATTAGTATATTCCTTTTGCATTTCAGCAAAGGCTTTCTGTTTTTTTTGTTAATTTTCAATAGGTATATTTAGATTAGGGATTTCACTCCTTGAACTAGAAATTAAGCATCTGAAAAAAATTCATATGTATGTATGTTAAACATTTGTTAGTTATTTACTTATAAGAAAATGACAGTCGGTATAAATTCTTGTTCCAATACCCAGATGATATGCATAGGAATTGCTCTCTGGCATAAAAATAATGTTACATGTGATTTTAGAGCAAGTGGAGCTTTTTGTATTGGTCATCTGCTGTATAAGACACATGTATATTTACTATGCTGGTTCAGAATTACTCTTTTAAGACGTTTCGATTGGTGTGATGTAGAATTTCCTCTCTTTTTTTCTTTTCATCAGCAAAACTTATCAGATACTGAAAGATGGTGAAAGGAGAGGAATAATGGTGTACTGGAAAGCTAGTTTCTCTTTAAGTATAGCTATCCCAGTCATTGCTGCATATTTCATAGTGCCACCAGTTCATGGAGGGACAAAATCATAATGTGTGAAAGGAACCCACATCTTCTGCATCTTTCCTTAATTTGCTAATACATTTTAACTGCCTTTTCAGAATCAATAGAACCTGTTGAATTACAGCTCTTTCCAGCAGCATGCAAGTTAATATTACCACAAGGCAGCCCATGGTATGGTGATGTTTGCTTACCTATTTAAGTATGATACTAGTTGTAAACATATCATGCATTGATTTTGGTTGCTCTACTGTTTTTATATTGAAGAACAGTGTTAGTAGTCTTCAGAGCTGAAGATGAAACATTTCTCCTTTTGGAAAGCAAACCTAACCAGAACTAATTTCTTGAGAAGCAGACAGCAGACAACACCAAGTCCTAGCTAACTGAAGGAAAACAATAGTGATGGATAGTACACACACTTACATCAAATGAATTGACTTTTCTCATTGATGATAATGATACTGATAATCCATCAGTAAGGTAAGGTCTTTTTGAAAAGAAATACCAAGACTTTTTCATACCAAGCATGGCAATGAATTTTGTATTATGGCAAAATATGGTCATATTTTACATCTAAGATTATATAGTTTTCTGCATCTGATTTCTTGAAGAATCCACCTTAAATATAAGTAGATAGTAATAAGGACTGCATATGATATGCACATACATGTGCATAGGAAAGGGTATATCCGTTCAAAATCAAGTATTAAAAGCTCTCCAGTAGATATTCTGTGTACCATTTTGAAATGCTTTGGGTATTGAAGAGTAACAGGTTTCAATAGCTTTCTCTGACATAATAATGTAAGTATATGGGATATACCACTTGTGAAGAGACAGAAAACCTAAGAATGTCACACCTCAAAATTTAAAAAGTGGGGGAGGTAAATTGGCAAACTAATATAGAAACACATTTTATGTTTATATCGAAAGAATATGTAACTAATCTGTAGAATATCTTGTAAAAACTGACAGATTCTTGGAAAAAGTGAAAGGGATGGAGTGTTGCAGGAAATTTTTGGTGACCACCCCTGTCGGTGTCTTGGATAATGTGGGCAGTAAGTGTTCCTGTCTTCTTAACCTTGTAAGTGTTTGTTCTGATTATTGTTTCCCCATAATGTAGACATACTCTATGTACTTTTGAGTAAGATGTTACTTCATGTCCCTTTGAAAACATTCACAATTTTCATTATGTAATTTCCTTTATTGATAATGTGCAGGCATATTCTGTCATTCTTATAGGTGTTAGAGCAATTGATGATCAAAGTATAACCAGAGTCCTACTCTGTTAAGTCAAAATATGTTCATATGTGTGTATGGTCATTCACATCTAAATTATAGTGTTGATAAGGATGAGTGCAAACCAAATAAATGCAGTATGAAGAAAAATCAATAATGTTAGACAATTACAGCAAAAATCCCCAAAACGTAGAATTTAGGTGAGGGAAAAGTTAGTTTTATTTATTTACAGCAACAATTTCCAGGACGGTTGTATGTGCAGTCATCCATTAAATATTAAAGGTAATGATAATAATCATATGTAAACCTAGTAGCAAGCTAAGGGAGTAGGACCCTTTTGCTGAAGCATGATAGAATATTAAAACTGTTGTTACTTAGATTAGATTCTGTGATAAGATTGTAATCATGTATGTGGCTCTATATATATATATAGACTTTGTATTCTTGGATAGGATATTAGTTTTTAAAAATATATTTGAGTGCGTGATTAATAGAAGCAACAGTAGAGTTTCCTATAGGTTTGACAGAGCTTAAAGATGGATGTAAAACATTAATGTAAAAGAAAGTTGTGTTTCAGAATCCTATTAGATATGGAGGAAAGGAGTTTAAAGGAGACAGATAATCAGTCAGCAGCAATGACTTTGCTGGGGCCTTTTGGAACGCACAAAACACATCTCGGCATAGGATTTATCAGTGATATTCAATCGTATAGGATTTTTTATGCATTTGATTTCTTCAGTATCGATGACCAAAATTTACTATAGGCATGTAACCATATTAGTAGTTTAAGACAAAACTCTAATGTGATAATACTGATAAATAAAACGAGGTTTTTCTAATAATCTACAAATTGCATGTGAAGGACAAATGGGAGGTCCTTTCGAATGCACTGACCAAACAAACATCCATGTCTGTAGGTGAGTCTCTCTCAAACATTTGGTTCCTTCTCTGTTTTCACCTCCTTTTCCCGATTCTCTCTGTTTCATTCTCATTGTGCTTTCCCTCCCACTTCCTCTTCCACTGTTTCTCTTATATTTATCTTGTCCTCTTTACCATCATTGTCATTATTATTTTGATTTTTATTGTTGTCATTATTGTTGTAGTTGTTGTTATTATTATCATTAATTATTATTATTATTATTATTATTATTATTATTATTATTATTATTATTATTATTATTATTATTGTTATTGTTATAACTACTTCTGTTATTATTGTTATTCTTACTGATGTTATTATTGTTATTCTTACTGATGTTATTATTATTTTATTATTATTTTATATTATTTTTATTATTATTATTATCATTATCATTATTATAATAATTTTTATTTTTATTGTTATTATTTCTACAAATATAATTTCTTAAAAATTACTATGGTTAGTGTTATTATATTTACTATTTGGGCAAGAAATTGTTATCATCACTATTATTATATTAAGAGCCAGGCTACCAACTTTGTTGTTTATACATGAAATCTCACATGCAAACTTTTTAACTTCAGAGCACACTGGGCCTTTATTTATATTTATGAATTCTGATTAATTGTATTAGACTTGTCAGTGTGCTTCTTATAAACAATGTATGTTAGTGGAGGATCAATCAAATGGTTCTATTTGCAGTGAAGAACAATACCATGTTAGGCCATGGCACCGAAATATGGCTGACCTCCCTATCTCATGTGCCAAAATATTTCAAAGTATTGTCTTATGTGTACACCAAACAAAGTTTCCAGACTGGATTAAAAGTAGTATTTTGACTTCAGCTCACAAGAGTGCTTTGGGTCACCAGCTTTTACCATTGATAGGTTTTAGTCTTGTTGGTTCATTAATTGTATGTGTCATATTTTATGTAAAATGATTCTTTTTTAAATAATCTTTAGATTCTTATTCAGTCACGTCACCTGTGGTTATGTTAATCTTTATGTTAAGTAGTGG